TCAGTCAGCCAAAAATGGATATCTCAAAATAGTACAAAAGTACAAAGGGGGAGGGCCCTCGGGGTCGGCAGGGAAGTCGAATCCCTGAGGGGGCTGGTGGATACTTTAGATAACATACTACTCATAAGTGAAAAATTTCCCTATTTCTACAAGTGGATTTGCTCCCGCATGAACATTAGTTAGTTCGCGTTCTATAAAATGGTATCATTTTTTGTTCAACCCATGAAGCAAGTTGAGTTTTGGTCTGAAAACAATATAAAAACTGTTAATCCATTGTGTGGAAAAGAAATAATGTTGAAAAGTACATTTTTTCTTTTGATTAGATGTTATATGTTAATGTTAATCCACATTCTGGAAATTAAATAAAAACTGAAAAGCACTCTATTTTTTTAGATTAGACGTTAGTGTTTTGAAAATTACCCATTTGGCATCAACGCAACATCTATCGGTCGGGTGGAATTTTTTTTCAAATGAATTGAATTGAGTTTTGTTTCAGTTCCCCAAGAAATCGATGTCTAAACTGTTTTCAGCAAACCATATATCGACTCAATTTCCTTAAACCCATATTATCAACGCATTAAAGCAGTAGAGGGCTATGTGTACCGATTCAAGGTCAAATCAGTGACTCCTAAAGGGAATTATGACGTGAGTCCACCTCAGGAGTACGACGATCGTCTGAATGTGCATCGATTGTCACCTGCAACAAAGTACGAATTCGAACTAGTAAATCAAAATTGGTGCAACCAAGAGTCGAAGCCGAGCGTCAAATATACAGTCTGCACTTGTAAGAACGTTTTCTTGAATCTGAAGTGAATGTCACTCTTAGTGGCGAATAGATAAAAATTGTTTTTCTTGGGGCTGCATATATTCGGCGAAATTATATTAGTTGAAAATAAATGTTTTAAAATTAGGCAAAAATTTTGATAACAAAAGTGTATATTTTAGCAAAAATCTCCCTATTTTTCCAGTCGACATTGAGAAGAAGCGGTTACAGCTTACAAAGTCTTATGTCGGTTCAGGATAACCGGCTCTAATTTTCTTAATGATTCCTACCCTCTGTTGGCAATCTCGCAAGACGTTGGCGCGCCTGCGTCGGTCACTATTTTACTGTTGATTCGATGTTTGCCTAATATTACGTGATTTTGTATGTAGCAATGGAATGACGTAAATAATCACATACAGTTTTTTCTAAAATGTACACTTTATTAATCAACACTTTTGCCTAATTTTAACATTTTTATTTTCAATTGATATAGTTTTCGGATCTTGCTAACTACCCCCCCCTTTTGGAACTTGTTAACAATCCCCCCCTATGCATCTATTATTTTTGACAACCATTTCTGTATAGAATATGCATTTCATAAATGTCAACTTTTAAGTGGGTTTTCATTTTCGCGCGTTTGTATTTGTGTTACTAACTATTTTACCACTATAATACCCACGTAAAAATTTAAATAATTTTTTCTGAAAATTGTTTTAAGCTATTGAAATTGTGGCTGCAAAAATTGAATTTCTGAAACTCGAAATAAGGGGCGGGAATAGTTAACAAGATCCTAGTTTTCGCCTAAAAAAGCAGCCTCTATTCTTCTTTTAGGTCATAATGACTAGTATTTAAAACGGTGACCGCTCGACTAGCATAAAAGTTTAAAAACATGAGAATGTATCAACTAGAATAATTTAAGAAATTCAAAATATTAATAATGCGCTCAAATTGAATAATGCATTCCTGAGAATTGAAATTTGAGCAAAAATCAAATTAAACTCCTATTGTCCTGATCAGTCACAACACGACCATTAATGGCTTGAACCGAAGACTGGTCGCCCCGCAAATTGTTAAATGTGTGAAAAAATTCATTAGATCTTGTTAAACCGCCCCCCCCCCCTACAGCAAAAGGGGGCCAAAGACAAATTTTATCGATCAGACAATCACCTTTTTTTATAAGGTGGCCAAATCTACGTAGCTATTTCACACATTTTTGGACCTTGTTAACTATCCCCCTATGCATGTATTGTTTTGACAACCATTTCTGTATAAAATATTATTTTCAAAAATGTCAAAAACCAATTGGATTTTTATTTTCGTCCGTTCCTATTTGTATTACTCATTATTTATATACTACCTCCTAAAATATTTCAAAAAAGTTATTGAAAATTTGGCAGCCAAAGTGGAATTTCTGACAATCGAAGTAGTAGAGGGGATAAGTTAAGAAGATCCGGGATGCTATATATTGTGTGTAATGGTTTTAGTTTTGACTTATTAAATTTCGTATTTCGATTTTTATGCTGGTCGATACGATTTTCAAGTTTGAAACTTTTATGCTAGTCCATATTTATGCTAGTCGACACACCCCTCTAAAACCGCCGTGTCAAGAACTTAAAAATGTTAACTCTCCTTTGCAATGCAGCGCTCGTTTATAACAAATGCCTGCATAACAACCACTTGAAACTTGCAGTAAACAAAATTAATATTTGTTAAGAAAATTTTCAAACTCAAATACAAAAGAGTTACAATGGTACGCTAGCACTCTATGGACCAACAAAATTTTCATACCTTTTTACACAAAAAACGCTGATTATATAATTCCATAATGACGTTTTTGGAAAACGCTTATCATACAGCTTTCGTATCTGAAACCTGCAAGACCAGCATTTTTTCATACACTGAAAAATGCCCATTAAAAAATCCAAAACTGAAGAGAAAATTAACGCTCTATTATCAAAAAAAATTGCTTCTATATTCAAATGTTTTTTTTGAAAAAGGGTGCAGTTGTCATAAAAAAACGAAAACAGACGCAATTAAGATTACTTTAAAACATTTGCTTTCATAGTCAGTTTTTTTTCGAAATTGGCAAGTACATTTGCTTCAAAAACAAAAATTTTTGATAATCCTGGTTTACATATGCCCTGTCCACGCTTACACTTCCATGCTGAACTTCATTAGTAAATACTCAACGCCATTGGGTTTACATCAGAAAAAATGCTTTTCTAAGTTTTCATAGAGTAATTGTGATTTTTTCTGGCCATTGAAACTAGAGAGCAATTTGTCTTCGGCTTTGATTTGTTGTTTTATTGTTTACGCAAAATCAGGTACAACAAACAAGCATTGGAATAGATCAAAAAGTTTTTAATATGGAAAGTTTTTCATTCGCAAGTCGCAGAACCTGACTTTTTCTTCAAAAACAAAAACTGAGCGAGTAAAGCGAGCCTAATTTGAAGTTAGTAAGTGTGAGTCTTTAAAAATAACGTTTTGATTTTGATTATCAAACACCTTATTTTGCTTCGGAAAAACTAGTTTTGATTTTCTTCTTAAAAAAATTAAAATTTTTGCAAAATAATTTTTGAAACTGTTTTTTGGAAAATTTTTTTGTATGTAACATTCGCCCGGAAGATACATATCGACGGATAACAAAACTAAGTCTTTCTTACATCGGTTCGACAAAAACGTTACTGTTCTCCGGCTTCGACCAGAACGCTCAAATTAACTGAATTACATGCAAAAATAGTGAGCTCATGGCTGGGTCTCAGTATCCCCAGACCACGAGGTCACTCCTAAAAACAGGGCTACTACTTATTATATTACTATTGTTTTTGTTCAGTAGATAAAAATCATCATCTCCATCGAAGATGGATCAACCCTTTCCCCCCCAACTCTTAGCACCTCATCCTTGTCAAAACTAATCCAAATATCAATTAAATTCAAGTCAGGACATGACAGGATGCTAAAAGTTCATATGAGTCAATAAAAGTTTTCCGTCCCGAGACCCTTCCGGATTCTTGAATCCAGTGAATAAAGCTCCTCAAGTTCGAATTCACGATAACACGGAGGGCTGATTTCTTACCCTTCACCGTTGTTCGCAACGGCCTTGCAACTATTGTAGCAGCACAATAGTTGCAACTCGGAACGTTCTCTGCACTCTGCTGCTGTTTTTCTTCAATTTCGACTTCTTCAATTTCGATCAAGTTGTTCTCGTCAGCGCAACCAACGTTGTTGTTCTGTTCTTTTACTCGTTTTTTGTTAAAAATGGCCGTTTCAGCATTTCTCAGAAATGTGACGTCATCATTCGAATTTTTGAAATTTTAAAATACTAGAATATTCCAGCCTTCACCGTTTGGCTAAACGTTCCAATAACGTCGTTAATCCTTCAAAACCATTAACTCGGAAGGTTCACTGCTAAAATTTCGAATTCTGCAGAGATTGCATTTTGGCCATTCTGGTCGAATGTCACATACTCCCCGGACAGTCCGGTCAATGTCCTCATTGAATCGCGCAATATTCGTAAAATGGTTACAGTGTCATCGAACAGAATTTACAAAATGCACGAAATTACTTTTATCCACGTCACATCGACTCACTGCAGAATATAAATGGCATCATACTACATCACTATAGCCTTCAAATTCTTTCATTAATCTGCACATTGAGGATATGACTTAAGATAAAACATATTTTCTGACTTCCAGTGTCAATGTCCCGATTAAAACTTTTTCTCTTAGATTTAAAAGGTGTTGGCTTGCAGGACAGTCCTGCCAACCAACAAGCTAAAATTTTCCTACTATGCTCCTTCCTTTCGGAAATCTTGCTTGTTTTTTGTCCTGAATATTAAAACTAAGAAACTTTGTGGTTAGAAAGAACAATGCAACAATCTCCCTCTTCGAGAGATTACTCAAGTTTTTCATGTCACCACAAAGTGATCAGTCTTCCTAAGTGATTAAAAACAATCATGCAGGCTGGAATAATTAAATATACTCTTCCCTCAAGCCTTTCTAAATAAATAATAAGTGAGTGTCTCTAAAGCCACTTCAACTAAAACCAAAATGCAAATTTATAAATGCAACAATTTCAAAACTCAACTAAATGTTTCAGTTTTCAACCACAACTTGGTTGCTTGGTTTCTCACTTGAGTTTTTCACACACATAAAACAATTCTGAGTTTTGACTTTTCTTCATCATCCCTTTGTTCTCTTCTTTTTCGTCGTTTAGAAGTTCTAAAACTTCTAAATTCTTCTAATTTTCTTTCTTGCTGCCTCTTGTTTTCTCGACCATTCGTCAATGCTCCATTTCCTCCTCCTGTGACACGGACTCCGCACTTTCGGTTTCCGTGTCTTGTAGCACGTCATTGACTATCCTGACGCTGTTGGAAGCCGTCCTCCAACACTTCTGCTCTTCCACCCTCTGTTTACAGCAAGGTAGGGGATCCACGTTTGATTCTCTGTTTCTACAGAAGCTGTTGTGGAGACACAACGTCACGTTTCTCTCCAAATCTTCCTTCAGCATCTCTGCCTTCTCATTTCCACTACGCTCGCTCGTCCTGGAAATTCTTTTCACAGCGGTGGTCACTGCATTCCGATGGGTCACGAAAGCTCGCTTGAAAGCTCCTGCCCCAATGTCCAGCTGATATTCACTGTATACTCTGCCATGCTTCGACATATGCTTTTTCGCATACTCGTACAACCATGCAGTCATGTTAGCTCTGAACCATGGCATCAATCGTTTTCTTGCCCATATCTTCTTCACTTCCATCGGAATGTTTAGAACTTTGCACATTGTCTCAAAAAGATCTAAATCTTTTAGACAATCTAATTTCCGTAATTGTTCTCTCGTCGGTGCCTCCTGTCTATTATTTTCTCTCACATGAGCTTCCAGCCATCGTATTGCCATCATAACTCCCACTATCACTATTGTTACGGGCTGTGATGAATCTGGTAAACCCATGGAGAGCAGCTCTCCAGAGTCCCAGATCAACATCAGATTACTACGCTTGGGATACCACCAGGTCTGCAGCA